CGACGACAGTCCAAGCAACGTTAAGTGGTTGACGAGAAGGGTCCAGTGTGGAAAATTCTAGTTGGATAGTGATACCCAAGGTCTGAAATTCAAGCATTCGAGAAGTGGTATATGTAGGTGTTTGGAGCAGATGCAAGCCGATAGGCAGACGCTACGTATCCATGCGTATGCTCGAGCCATAAGACATGAATTACCCTCATTGGTGAAACCATGCTTGAATGTGTGCCGTTGAGCCTGCACATAGTGATTTCACGGCTTGCCTGATCTCAGTGCTCCCAGTGATATCTAGAACTTCTCCCGTTAATGGGTTCAGCTCAAGTGACTACGGCGCCATGTGAACACAATTGACGACTTATTGGATGGGATGTAGTCCTGGCTAGTCTCAGTGAATGAATTCGAAAGACGCTGTCGAAGATAGTAGTACACCACTCATGGTTGGTGGTTCCTCACGAAAAACTGTGAAAAATCCCGATCCGACTCTCGATCCTATTTCCGAAATTTACTGGCCCTGGACTCCGGTGGCGTCAACCCGGCTTCCGGGCGGAGGCACATCATGAATGCGGCATGTGCCGTAGACCTTGAACTTGACTGATTTGACCTTTAAGCCAGCTTCCGACTGGATTGTTGGGCCAAGCAGCCATCCATGCCACGAATTAGCACAAGAAGAATGAGCTGAGCAGAATATGTGGAAAGATTTGGTGATACGATTCTCGGAAATGACTCCGGTCATTATCCGCACATTTTGGAATCTGCGTGCTTTTGGGGAGCTGGATCCCGAGCTGCACCATGCAAAAATCCACGTTAATCCCCAGTCGGCATAACTCACGCCGCGCCTCTCCTCCTACTTTATCATGGAAGATAGCCGGCAAGTGTGGCGGAAGAGGTGTGGCGCGGTTCAAACTCCGGCTAAGGCCGAGTCAGCAAGGGCTGAGGAGGGTCCGTGAGCCGGGGCTACTCAACTTGACGCGTCGAGGCGTCACGGCGCGTCAAGCGTTTCTCCTCCCTACACCTACTCAACAAAAAACTCTCATTCATCATCGTAACACAACATTCGCCAGTATGTCTGGTACCGCAGCCGATCTTCAGCAGGCAAAGCAAGCTCGAGCCGCCCACGCGCGTGCCGTGAGAGTCGCCAACAAGGAGAAGAGGGAGAAGCTCAAAGCAGCGAGAGTTGCACGCATGGCGCGTGCCCGGGCGGCAAAGAAGGCTTGAGGTTGGTTTTGAATAATGCAAAGCTGGAAATACTGAGCTAATCTCACTCGCAGTGCATGTATCCGTACGGCATTGTAAAGATGTCTTCGACGGCTGGGACTGGTAGATCGTTACGCCAAGTGTACCACGGTGAAAGTGGATTGTTGGGTGGATAACCATTGTATTTTATGGGGGCGTAGGGACTTGGGAAGAAGCGACTGAAATTTGGTTTTCAATATCATAGTAAACAATGCTGCGGGAGACCCCTGATCTATTGACATTTCGTGCAATTCATTGACAGACAAATGGTGATGCCATAACGGTCTCCTGTAGACCTTGAGGTGTGCTCGCAAGCAAGAGCAGCAAATTATACACGGCGCGACAGACTGCTTGCTGACTGGCGAGCTCCTGCCTTTCAAAGCGACGCGAGTTGATGCTAAAGAGCAAAGCGATGCATTCCGTGGAGATGTCACTAGGCTATGGGAGGGCGATCGCTCATCTTGGTTTCGAATTGCTCGCGCGCGAAGTCCTTTGCCGGGAGTCGAGTAGTCCTGGATTTTCGCGTGTCGTGACTTCCCCTTTGGGAGCATTTCTGGGACTTTTATTGTCAATGTTGCTACTCCTCTTCGCTGGTCCTTCTTTTTGCAGAGTAGATAACGGGCCGCTCAGGTCTACCGCCCAGCACCATACAGTAGTAGCAAAGACTTTCCATCAATCAAAACCACTCCATTGATGTGGGAACGGCGAGACATTACGAATCCCGGGAAGAATTGAGGCAGTAGATCATTTCATCTGAGCGCGTGGCTGCATTTGACTTTCCCTGACTGAAAAGAAAGCTGCATTTTCACTACTACGGTGTGATATTTTTCTGTTGAGCCCCAACATCTTCACTCAACCTCCTCTCCCCTTGTCAGTAATCTTAATGAGGGATGAATGACCAAGAAGATCACCGCAGAGGACTACCACGATGTTGCATCGCCATCTCCTGCGTTGATGATGGCATGTTGTGACTATAGTGTGTTTTCCAGGACGGGGGAGCATCTTTCGAGCGTCTCATTCTTGGGTCAAATTCTGTACGACACTGAATTCTACGCATGTCTTTCTTCGCCAAGCGTGGCAGCCAAATACGGCAGGGGGTGAGAGTGCCAAATAATTTTTTAGAAGCGATCGAATAGTGTTCTTTCGAAGATGATGACGAAGTATCATCGCCGCCATTGGCGTTGAGGTAGCAGGCAGATACCACGATGGCTTTCATACCACTAGCCAGACGACCAGAGGCAAGCTCCACCCCGGCACTGGTGAGCCGGCGATAGCCACGCCCTGCTCTCAATTCTGTTGCGCAGCCCTGCATCAAGCGCCATGTGTGTAAAGTATACATGCATTCACACTGAATCATACTGCGGCACCGAGCAATTCAAGCAGGCAAGAGGAGTGGTTCTTCACGATGAATCGAGCTTGAACTAGTCCTGGACCTTGGCGGTCAATATCTGCAAATGCACTAAAGGATATCGATATGAGATGAGAACTCTTTAGGATCGGTCACTCCAATCTTGTCACGAAGCAGACTTTTCGAGCCCGTAGGCCGGAGTGGACTCTGAGTACTGCGAGCGCTGGATATGAGATCATCTATGGTTAGTCTAGACGTGGACTTGTTCACCTGTGACTATCGTCAATTTTCTGTACGAAACTTCGACCCTGGGCAAATAAGTGCTGCACACTCTTCGGCAAACTTTCACTGCGCAATCCAAGGAAGACGTTACCTGCAGGCTAGGTAGTCTCGAGTATCCTTGACAGTGCTTTAGCGGTTCTGAGTCTTAAGTTGACCAGAGTACAGTAATGTTGATACCGATACTGTCAAGAAAAAAAAGGCCCTGTAATAGAGGTACGCGGGGATCTTGCCCTTGTGCTTCGTGACGCCAAGAGCCTGGGAGTTGTCAAACTTCCAGAAGAGCAGAATGAAGAAAGCATGGAGAAAATATAGTCGAATCGAGAGCAAAGAAGGAGATTATGATTGAGGGGCAAAAGTCAGAGAAACGTATTGATATCCAGATTTGGAGACAAAAAATCTCAAAGCAGAGGAAGTTATAAGAGATAGATCATCCCTGCAATCAAACATTATAGGTAGTGTTCTTGACACCAAAGCGTCCGAGCTTTCATTCAATTACCACCAGATTTGACCAGACTCCGTTGATCACCTACTTACTCATGCGTGGTTGTAGGGGATAATTGTTATGAAAAGCGACGTATTAATCCCTCCAAATCTTCCACAACCAGCACTATATCTTGAGCTGTGTCTAGGCTAAGGAGTGCTTTGTCAGTCATGGCAGTCAACTTCTGGCACGACCTGGGAGTCCTTGGTTGTGGGGGAGTATTAGTGTGACCGAGGCGTTGTGATACTACCACTGGCTTCTCGCGGGGCGGCATAGTATATATTATAAAACAATCATTGGAAGGTGGCTCTTCCGTTGCATTCGCCTTCTAGTTAATTTAGCAAACCTTAGTTGCGCGCCATCACTTTATCCGAGCACAAATAACAGAGTATCGCGCGGGTGTCTATAATAACATATCAACCACACGAGATTACACTATGGTTTAGTTACTCTCGCTCGGGTCGGAGAATGGGACCTGACGTATTGATAAGATAGAGACATCCACGTTCTATCTTTCGATCAAATGCAGACAGCTCAGCCTACCAAATGCCGTCATCTGCCAGTGGTACTAGGCATGAATTCAGCTGAAACGTATTGGCAATTTAAATTGAACCGCGTAAACGTGAGCTTTCAGCCAATAATTACCCATGAGTATTTAACTTTCACGTATGAAAACGGTAATTTACGCCTATCAACGATTAACCACTCTAGCAGCCACATATTTTCGCTCGGAAACGTTCATATTACAGGACAAACCGTCTTCGGTCCCGCTAGAGCAATCCTGTCTCGCTATGACTGTATTTTCATATATTGCAAGAGCATCGTCCTTTATACCTGCTTCCGAGTTAAACTGGCTGTTTACCTTGTATGCCTTGTGATTTCAAAGGTTATCTAGGCCTTATAGCAGGTTTCAACATTTGCGGACAGGGTCTTTTCTGCAAGATCATGTTCGAAGCTCAGTCAACGGGCTTCAGAATAGTGTAAGTATGTGAATACATACCAGAATTCATCAAGTAAGACCAGCTTATAGTAGATTGTAAATAAAACAATCTCTTTAGTACTTATTCAGAAACTGAAGTATCATAACCATATAATGTCCCATGCTGCTTTCTTAGTAATACTTTACTTTTCCAGTCATATCTAGCCTCTCGGTTTCCGCCTCATCATCTAACACTAGATATATGTGGTGAAACCTATCCCCCCTGGCTATCAGTCTCTTTTGCCATAAAAGGGAAGAGCTTACTCCTGCACCGATGTCTGCGAATTCCTTGTCTTTAGGTGGTGTTGACCTAAGGGCGAGAACGAAAAGTTCATGTAGACGTGACCAAGGCTTAATACATTGGACCCAGAATCGCTGTTGGCGTCCCATAAGCTCCAGGATATGTGCATACTCAACCGTCAGAGCATAGAGACACACCACTCCAACATAGATGTACATGATGACTCTTGAAAACGTCAAGGTCTTTCGAGGATGCCCGGTTCCGAAGCCAAATCTTTCAACTTCAAAGTCAAGGCTGAGGCGGCTAGGAAGCATCTCGTTGTGAACACGATCTAGATTGATGGCTCTGACAGATTGCCTTGTGCCATAGTCCCATTTGGTATGGGTTGCGTTTAGTGGCTGTACTCTGAACACTCCTTGTTGAGGATTGTACTGCTTGGTCAGATCATATCGCTCATCTGATCTGCGTCTGCCTCTACATCCACAGACGCCATACCGCCAGCTCCTGTGCGAGCTAGGGCTTCGGTAAGATACACGCCGAACACTGTGGACAAAAGATACTCTGCTCCAGTCGTTCCCAGCTCAGTAAGGAGCATCTCGGGAGAATTGTCGACATCCTCGCTCGAGCCACTGAAAAGGTGAAGGATCTTGTAAAGTGCTGTAGAGTTGTTACTTCAATCATCGCTCATCGAGGCCGTGATGTTGGGATCTGTGTATCGCAGCCAAGTCTCATTCATCGTAATGACGTGTCCGCCACTCAAAGAATTTGGATGAAAAGTTTCTTTCATGCGCTTCCTGCTATTAAAAGCCGAGTAAAAAGTGCTTCCATCCTTGGAGGACATCATTGAGGAATTGGAAGGCATCCAGCTTGCTAACAAGCCACAGGTGAATACAAGGTCGTTCGCCGCAGACTGGGGATTCGATAGCTTTCCAGCTACCTTGATCACCAAGTTTCGATTCCCGTCAATTGAGTAACCTGTCGTGAAAGTGGAGTTATGTTGGACTGATCTCGTCCACCATACATCTTCGAGTTCTGGAGGATTGAGCTTGTAGGTCTGACATTCAGGGTGTCCAAAACAGTTCAGGGCATCCGTTGGATACGTGAGCTTCTCCTTTGTGTCCAAAACGCTGGCCAAATTGTGAACCTGGCATTTCGACTGTACGAAAGGCTGAAAAAACGGTCTGTCTTTTGCGTCGTTCTCGGTGTCGTTATAGTCAACAAGTCGAGCCTTGATATTATATCGAGAGTTGCGCGATAAGATACCAACATCATTGTCCTCAATGAGCTGCTGAAAGAGACCCAACCTAGACAGTAGAAAATGGAATGGAGTAGTTGAGAGCGATGTTTTTCGACGTCCGACTGGGACGTGCACCAGGTCCCTTCGAAGATCAGCCGAGGGAAGTTGGAAAGTGAGATTATATTATAAATAGGTCGATCGGACGCTATATGCCCAATTCCAGATCTCTGGAAACCCACCAGCTGGGCACCAGGACTGAACGATTCCTTCGCTCTTCGAGCATAGCATGGAAAAGATGGCGATATCATTCAATATTCGAGGCCAAACCTCCTCAGGGCTGTAGTCGTAGACGATGGGCATTTTGATCTCGCTAAATGCGCTCGCGTGGTCCAATGGAAATCTCTCCAGGGTCGGAATAAGCATAAAGGCGGACATCGGACCAACGACAGTAGACATGAGTGTAGAAAACACCAGGTAACAAGTCAGAACGATTTCCGTGAGAGAAAGATATTTGAATCCCATGTGCCACAGAGGTGAAGACGGAGCCAAGATGTATTCCAAGTCTCCGACCCGATAGGCTCCGGTGAGGAATCCTAGCTTCACGCCCTCCCCTACTAGTCTGCGTCGACACATGGCCAGCATAATGAAAGAAAGAGAGGCGACGATGAGAATTTCGTGTAGTTTTGCTGGTAGCTGGAGTGAATTGATGATGACGTCCGCGTTGATCCCTCGATCTGGAGAAGGACCCTCTAAGGCGAACCAGTATCGTTCTTTCCATCCAAGCCATAGAGCGAATGCTGTTAAAGCTAGAGCAGCTGTGTGCACAGCAACCTCAACCTTGCTATGCTTCCAAAACGATGTTCGCGTGATTGCTTTGGGCTTCCTGTGATCCCCACACGCGCACCCACTCAGCCTTCTAGGAAGATTGGGACCGCTGAGGATGTCATTGGACAACACTGTCACCGTATCGTCACCTTTGCCACAAAAGGAGTTATAGCGAGGGGTCAAATCATGATATTTTTCCAAATCTTCCATGTGCGGGCTACGCAAATTTTCGTGAGGGCAAGCCTTCTCTGCAGCAGCGTCGATTGTTGTTGAGAGAGATCTATCGTGGTCGGGCAAATGCTGGCTGGCGTTGCGAATGGTGTTGTTGGAATTGGAATGAGTCTCGGATACGATAGATTGCCTAAGGGCGCCGTCCAAACGGCTAAGTTGTGTTGTAGTCTGTGGAAGTGCCATGGTAATATCTCGCTGATACAGAATGCACTGTTCGTCGGCAGTATTGTTACATTAGATGACCAGGCTGGCTAGGAAGAAGACCTGTTCTTATAACGATTTATAGCGTGTCTGGCTTTGTCTTGGTACATTTCTTAGTTCTGATGTACAACACAGAGATTCCACCTCCTTTCCGTCCCTCAAAGTGTATCTTCAACACCGACTGCAAGCCCGAGTTTTCGAAGATAGCTGCATCTAGGCAGTCGTGCGTTTTGCAACAATCGGTTGTGGAAAGCCGCCAGTAAACTTTGTCAAATGCTTTAGGTAGCCCACAAATTCTGTTTGCGGTGAATCTCAAGCATGCTGTGGAGGCTTCCTAAAGAAAGGAATAAACCTTGGAGGCTCAGTCGTCAAGTAAAATTGTCTTGACACCCACATGACACCGTAGTCTCGCCAATCCTTCCTGCGCACGAGACCGCCAACGCGTTCCCGCTCCAGACATAGCGAACGCCATGGAATTGAAGTCAGACACGGCTGATTATTGAAAGCGGGCCTTTTATCATGTCCAGCAAGCCAATTGGCTTAAGACTAGAATGAACGGAAAATCTGACGGGAAGGCTTATAACTCTTAGCTGATATAAGATATCTGCATCGAGAAATGCGGGGCAGCAAGCTCACAAAATCATACGACAAAAAAGGATATTGCTTTGGCTTCCGACTGAACTGACCATGATACTGGAGCGTACTCTTCAATATTGTTGAACATCGATGCAAATTTGTCCCTTGCCTAGGATCGGTCAATGACATAAGGTAGCTATCAGAATATGTGTACTACAATTCATCATACTATCGTGTTCACCAGAATTCTTAATTCAAGCTCTCTTTCACCAATGCACCGTTACAAATACAATGATTTCACAGCATACAGAATGCTTCATGATGACAGTCAAAACGTTCAGGCGATCCTTGGAGGCCGAAGGGCGTCGTTTAATTCCAAGTTCTAGTACCTTGTCATAGCCGAAGGGAATGAGGTGTTTGGCCTGCAGTACGTTTGCTTTCAATTCACCATAAGACTGATTCGTGGATCTTGCCTCATTGCTGAATCGTGCAGACGTTGGCCCACGAACTGCCTATACGCTTTACCGCCACAGCTCGACGACATGACTGAATTTTTCAACAGCACAGACGGCTGCAAAATATCTGCATTAAGAATACGGTTGACTTACAAAACGTATTCTCCGGCCTGCGAGGCTCTTCTATCCACTCTCCAATATCCCTTCGCACTAGCCTCCATGCGGCATCACAACACTCCTTTACGAAATGCCATCAATAATTGGATGGGCGCTTTACCTAATGATTATATTTCGCTTCTTCAAAAGGAAGAGCAATGGGCTCTTGTCCTGCTGGCTCATTTCTGTATCCTAATTCACCGGTCCGAAACACGTTGGTTTATGAAGGGTCACGGATCGCGACTCCTCCAGTCAACAATTGGACGTCTCGATAATCAGTGGAAAGATTACGTCCAGTGGCCACTGGAAGAAATTGGAGTGTGTAGACTACCTTATATTTGGTAAGACATGATTGTTCGTGACATCGTTACGTGCATCTTCCAGCAACAGTTGGCTGTGTGAGCAATTAATTCATGCTGAATACCGGCCTACCTAAGTTGCAAGGCAGAGGTACAGGGCTCTAACTCCTATGGGATTGCTAGAATGAGGCGAAAGTATGTTTACGGGGTATCTATACCATGTTCAATCGCAACGTGGAAGTCTTCAAGACGTAGTTCACAGGAGAGAGAATACAAGAAAAGACAAAACCCCATAGCTTACGGCAGTTGGTGTGTATTCATAGAACGCACTTGGCCTCATAACCATACACATATCACGACCGATTTCTCCTTATGTTGATAAGATGGGGGCCGTACTATTCAGTCAATATATCTCGTAAGTGACAACAGTAGCGGAGCGTTATCTTGTGTCTGATCGCTATCTCTGAAGCACCTCCAGTAACCTTTTCCGCTGTCCATCGTCTACGTATAAATGATACTTTGGCTAAAACCTTGTACAAGACGTCAAAAGCTTTGATTTTGTTCTCGCGACAGCGATGTGGAATTGGGACCGACGTGGTTTAGTTCGCTTCAGCTGCTCTTTCATTTTTCTGCTTTTGATGGCTGCGCATTGCGTCCAGCAGACGTTACTCAAAGTAAGGTATCTACAAAGGTCTTCTCACTACCTGCGCATACGTCGGTCAGTTCCATCGAATCAATGACGACTTGGCGCTCTCTGCTGCGGTAGAGAAGAGGTGACGGGTAATTGAATTATACCATACTGTATGTCATTGCGGCGTTGCTTACGATCGGCCAATGGATCTTCCCGAACGTTTGCGACTATGGGGCCACAGACTTGGGCATACGTGAAGCCCAAGGTCTGAAATGTTACTCAATCTCCAGACTTGTATTATTGTATATAAAAGGCAGAACCAAGCTGAGCGACGTTACTTTCATGTATCAAGTCGTAAGGTAGGTAGACTTGATAGGTTACTCAGACAATCTTCCAATTCAGTACTTGAAAACAACGTAGGACGAACCCATGATTACCGACGGCGAGCCATTGAGTCATGAGGCGTCCAGAGAGGATTATGTCTTCATCATTTTACCTGCATCGTGGATACCATGACTCAAAGAAGTGTAATGAGTACCATTTGAGCATATCTGAAGAGCATGTCCCTCCCCACTATGATAGGCGGAGCGGTGACGGAACTACTAAACCTCGATCATAAAAGGCTCATTTTCCTTCTCGAATTGGCCATGACGATTGTTGGAAGTGAATCTTGCCTTCTTTAACCTACTTCTAAGGAATGACTATTCAAATTCAATAAGAGCTAAGAATTCTTCCTCCACTGTCAAGCAGCCCTTTAAAAAGTGCGTCTTGTCAAATTAGCTCTCCACCAGTGGAGACTTTAAGTGTGTCTGCCGCAACCGGGTGTACAAGTCACTCGGCGTATGTTGAAATTTACAGAGAGATGCCCAGCGCACTGACCAGGTCAAAGAGGTCCCAGTTGACTCGGAGACCAACAACTGTGCCGTCCTGCCACCTAGCAATCGTGTAATGCAACAGGTCAAAGTCTTTCCCAGTGGCCGAGATCGGCTTTCCAGATATGTACTCGGGCAGAACCAGTTCACCCTTGTGAGTGCCGCTGAGAAAGGCAGCGGAAGCAGTCCAGTCCCCCTGGCCCACGGTCTGTCGGTAGGGTTGATTTTCGAGTCGTAGATCGGGAAATGCGGTCTTCAAGTTGTTAAGCCAGTCGATGTATCCCTGCGGACTCAGTGGCTGATCAGAAAGGCCAAAGATCTCGGCACTCGGCGATAATTTGAGGCCTTCCAAAGTAAATTTACTGTCATTCAGAGCATTATCGGACTGTGCCATGTAGGCTTTGTTAAGGTATGAGGTGTCTGTGTTGTTGGGACCCGTTGATAGCGGCGACGCAAGATTCAGTTCCAGATCAGGTAGATTCTCGGCCGGTCTGTTCGGCAACACGCCAAGCTGGCGGTAAATCAAAGGGTTGTCGGACCACAGGTATTCCTCCACCATCCATCCGTTGTTCCAGCGGGCGATCGTCATCAAGTCGTATTGGACTGGCTTGTTTGTAGGAGGTAGATAGGTGCCGTCAAGATTAGTCAAGGGGCCATTCTGAATGCCGGTGATGGTCTCAATGGCCACTGTCCAATCTCCTTCTCCGAACAAGATCTTGTAGTCGTGATTATGCAGGGTCAAGTCAGTGTTGGAGTACACGACTACAATGTCTTCAAGATGCTCTGTCAGGTTTCTGATGGCCGTCCCTTGATAGACCTTGACATTTTCATCATGATGGAAGCGAGCTAGATCTCGGGCATTGAAAGCGTCGTCAGATAGCTGCATCTGCCTTGTGTTCTGATCCACTGTCCAGTGTGTGATGTTGTTTTGGTTCGTTGGAGACTCCAGGGGAGGCGTGTCTGATGAACTTTTAGTCGCCTACAAGGTATGGTCCTTAGGCTAGCCTCTTACCTCGCCTCAGAATATGCCTCCCCGAGGCAGCTGCCGCGCGCTGTATGTGCACTGGGACAAGTCCACCACAAGCCGATGTCTTGTGGTTTATTGTCAAAAGTAACGCAGTAGTAAGGAAGTTCATGATGAATGGTGCTCGGGTTGCTTCTCGATATTGATGTGGTGATATGAAAATGGTTCCTTTGGTTGGGACATTCCGGATTTATAAACAATTCCTATGAGATTTTACTACTACATCGTAGGTAGCTTTCATCCACTTCTAGTGATTTATAATCCTTCAAGCAGAGAAGAGCTGTGAATCAGTGTCACTATCCCTAGCAATCTCGGCACTTCATATTCTAGGCCGTGGGCGATAATGATGAGTCACGATTGGTCCCAGTTGAGGTCATTTCAACGGCCTTTGGCAGGTCTCGAGCACTTCAAAATACCGCATGGCTGCAATACTCGACATACGTAATTGCCGCGCTGTGTCGTACTACGCCGCAACCGGACTCCGGTGTGGATTCCACCTTTCGCCCATCAGTTAGCACTTTATGCCGTATACCGTATACCGTTTACCACATAGTGTTCACCGTATACCGTACCTCTAGTCCGCATAGTGTGCCGTTGCTTATTTCCGTCAGTAGCTATTAGGTCATCACCTTCTAAAATGACAAGGCCCATCCAATCACGTGTTCCACACTCTTTTGCCATGCCTCAACATTGAAAGCATAGATAGACTGCATTTCCCGTGGAAGGCCGAGCGAAGGGGGGAGAGGGGGGTGGCAGCATTAGTGGCCATATAGTGATTGAAGTCCCTAAGTATCTTGCTGGACTGTCAGTAGCTGGTTACATTGCACTACTGTACTAGTAACTGAAATTCTCCCTTGTCCACTTAACGAGCACTTGAAGATGTGCTGAATCCCGTAGCATCCATATACTTCGGTGGCTTGGCAATGCATGTCATTCATTCTTGTCCTTTCGTTTAGGAGCGAGAGTGCG